GGAGCCCCTTTAGGCACTGGAAGGGGCTCTGAGGTCTCCCCTTTTTGGCCTTCTCTTCTCCAGGCTGAACCTCCCCAACTCTCCCAGCCTGTCCTCCCAGCAGAGGGGCTCCAGCCCTCCCAGCATCTCCGGGGCCTCCTCTGGCCCCGCTCCACCAGGTCCATGTCTCTCCTGTGCTGAGGCCCCCGAGCTGGAGGCAGCACTGCAGGGGGGTCTCCCCAGAGCAGAGCAGAGCGCAGCAGAGGGGCACAATCCCCTGGAGAGCATGAGGAGGACAGTGACGAGCCCGTGCAGTTAGGGCAACGTTGCCGTCTCCTCTGTTCCCCCCAGCCAGAGCGCAGTCGGCTTTCCATCCCACCAGGACAGCTGTCTCCTGGCCGTGCTGCGGATTCTCCCATCCCTGATCTGTTCGGGCATCCCGGAGCAATGCCGGCTCGGTGAGGCCGGGAAGGCGCAGGTCTGGGAGGACTCCGGGGCTCCCACCGCCTGGGGTGGCTCAGGGACAGCAGTCCGTCTGTCCGTCCTTGCCCCTTCCCCGCTGGGCTCCGTAAGCCTCTCCGGGTAGCACAGCGTAGTTTGCAAAGCTGAGCCCTCAGAATTAAGTGATGGCAGACTTAACGTGGCTTATGCAAACTTAATTTCCCCCTTTGCTGTGTGTACACCGGCTCTAATTACACAGTGAAATACAGTGTTGATGGTTCCAGTGGGAGGGGAATTGGTGACTGCGGTAAGCAGTTACCGCGTGCAATGACTGGCCTGTCCTGAAGATGCTTTTCCCACGGCAGTCATAATTTCAGTCTCTTTCCAGCTCATTCTGGCTGGAAGCGCGGTGTGGGGCAGCAGCCTGCTGCCGGGCACCCAGGGGATGTGTCCCTCCAGCCCCCCTGCCAGGCTCGCCCCGCGGGGACCACTTCTCTCACCGCTTCCCTTGCAGGTGAGGAAGCACGGGGCCAAGCTGCTGGCGTCCATGGTCAACGGCATGGATGACAAAGACGACCCCCACAACCTGGTTGCGCTGGAGGCCATGTCCAGTCTCTCCAAGCTCCTGGATCACGTGGAGGAGAGAGACATCCAGTCCATGCTCCTCCACATCGCCATCCGGATCCGGCCCTTCTTCGACAGCGTAAGGAGGCGGCGCCCTGGCTGTGCTGCTTTCGCGTTTGCCGAGCCAGAGCCTGCGTAACACAGGGGAGGTGTGCGGGAGGAGCGGGCGCCCGCTGCGGTGCCGCGGGGCGCACCCCTGGGTGCAGGCAGTGCTGCGGGGCCAGGGGGGAGGAGGTCGGGGCGCCGCGTCCCCGGCCAGCGGCTTGGCATGGGCTGCATAAGGACACGGTGCCGTTAGGAAGCAGAGCTGCCCATGGTGTTGTCCACTTGGACCTCAACTCCTCCCGGGTAGCAAGGAAGCTCTGGGGACGTTGAGCCAGAGATGGGTTATGTGGGTGCCCTGTGGCAGCATGAGGGTGGGAGGACAAGAGAAGTCCTCCGTGGGTGTCTGCTCCAGGGGGTCCCGCTGCCTTTAGTACTCTCTGTTCGTCCCCAAAACCCCTCCAGCATCACCACGGGGAAGCTCGATGCTTCTCCTGCTCAGCTTGCAGCCCGTCCTTGGGCTTGAGCATCATCCTCTGCCGCTGCACTGAGCGGCCGCGGTCCCAGTGGGAGCGTCCCCCCTTGGCCAGGCCCACGCTTGGCGTGGGGGGTGTCATCTTCTCCTCTGCCTCCTCTGTCCTGAGCAGAACTGCAGCTCCCTCCCCAGCTGGGTGCAATGGCTCTACGGGGATGATGGTGGCTGAAATTTGGGAGGAAGAGGTGGGGGGCTGTGTTTTGTGGAGTCATTAGATGATACCAAACTGAGTGGTGCGGTGACACCCCCGAGGGAGGGGATGGCATCCAGAGGGACCGGGACGGGCTGAGAGGTGGCCCCGTGTGAAGGTGACGGGGCTGAGCCGGGCCAAGCGCAGGGTCCTGCTGCGGGGTGGGGGCAGCCCCCGGTCCCGGCACAGGCTGGGGATGGAGGGATGGAGAGCAGCCCTGCCGAGAAGGGCGCGG